CTCTATTATCACTTTGTCCTGTAGACACAGAATGTCTTACTTAGCTCTGTGTTCTAAAATCCTAAACTCCATGAGGATCCCTACAAATTTTCTGAAGAATTTTTAATCCTCATTGAAGCTCACCAACGTGGTGACTGACTTACTATCAGTTTATTCCCATGATTCTGGCCCAGTGGAGGCCTAATGATGGCTAGATCAGACATAATGGTGAGACCCAAGGGCAGGTTGGCCTTAAATATTGGTAAAACAGCTACCAAGCTGTTGGAAGACTTTTGGAGCCATAGTAAAAATTCCTAAAGATTACCCCTAAAGGAGAACTATTAATTAATAGAGATCCAATTTTTAATTGACAATGGAGTCATCGTGTCTGCTTTTAACCCCATCTGTTTACAAAAGTCCTCCCCCAACCCCCCACCGAAACCCTCAACAGAACAAACACTGATCCATTCCCAACCTGTTCTGATATCTCTTGGTCCTATTGAAGATTTACACTCTTTTTCACTCAGTTCCGTATCCCTATCAATCTATCAGGAAGGGATCTTTTATCCAGATGGAACTGCGATTTATAATTTAATGAAAAATGCCTGGCATCTCTAAGTGAACAGGGAAAGGCTCTGACGATATTCAGGAAGAAGCCATTTGTTATAGGCAAGCATTGTCATGCCTCTCCAAAATTCCACTCAGCCTAGTTCTCTCCCTTCTGAAATCTTTCCCCTCATTCCTAAAATCCTATGGGCTATCATACCCACAGATATAGATCAGGTGCTGTCAACTGAGCCAATGAGAATTTAAATAGATTTATCTAAACCTGCCCAAATTCCACCCATACCCACTCAAATGAGGAGCAAAAGAAGGACTAGCTCTCATTATACACGATTTCCTTTCTAAAGGTTTAACCATCCCTTGTTCTAGCCCTGTTCTCCCAGTTCAATGAAACAAGTAACAGGGGCTGGAGATCTGTTCAAGATTTCCATGTAATGAACTGTATTTATTATTCCCAGATTCCCAGTACTCCCTAATCCTCAGTTTGACTTTCCAATGTCCTTTTCAGATGCAACCCATTTTACAGTTGGAATTTTTGCAATGCCTCTTTCAATATTCCCGTGCATTCTGAAAGTCAATACTTTCTTTTACCTGGGAAAATTAGCAATTTACCTGGAATTTAATGCCCCAAAGATTTACTGAGTCTTCTACCTATTTTTCTCAGATTCTTCATGAGGATTTTCAGTCTTTAAAGTTTACCCAAAAAAATCCAAATTGCTGCAATATATTGATGATTTACTAGTTTCTCAACCTCCCAGTAGGCCTATCTTGACGACAGTGTAGATTTAATAAAACTTCTGGCTGCTAGTGGACATAAGGTTTCCACAGAACAATAACAATTTGCTCAGCCTTCTGTGAAATACTTGGGCCATCTAACTTCTGCAGAAGGCATCTCTATTAATTCTAAACAGAAGGAAGCTGTACCCCAAACAAAGAACCAGCTAGGGGAGTTTCTAAGACTCTGGCTAATGCTGAGCCTGATTCCCATTTTTTCTTTGTTGGCTCAACCTTTATACAAAAAAAAAAAAAAAGAGCCAGACTCATTCTAAATTGCATCAGAAAATCAAGAGGCTATAGTTCAATTAAAAAGGGGTTTTAATGAACAAACCCATTCTAGGTTTTCCTAATTACCATCCAGATTTTTCCTTATTTGCATGCATATATGAATTAACTAAAAATGTTTAAGCATACGAACTCAAAACTATGAAGGTCAACAAAGACCTGTAGGTTAGACCTGTAGCCAGGGGATACCCTCCCTGCCTCTGGTTGTGCCTACTACTACCAAACTAGTGGAAACTAGAGCAAATGTGATGCTGGGAAACTTTTTCGATGTCTATGTGACCCATGCTGTGTCTGCCTTACTTAATTCCGCTAGCAGGCTCATCTCCTATGAAGTTCTCCTCCTGCATCCCTGGGTCTGTTTAAATACAGCTAGTCTTCTCCCACAAGTAATAAGAACAATGAAATATTGTTGTATAGATTTGACCGGACAACTTCTAGCTCCTCAGAAAGATTTAAAAGAGACTCCTTTAACTAGTCCTGATTTAGTTTTGTTTGTAAAGGTTTCCTATTTAAAATCTATCCCTACTAGTTTTCTCTATCAAATCACTTATGCTGTTACAATATTTACTGAAGCTCTTGAAAGTTAGGTTCTCCTTGAAACTATTTCAGCCCAACAAGCCAAATTAATTGCCCTCATTAGAGCTTGTAGAATTGCTTCAGAAAATCTGTTAATAATTTTATAGGCAGTAGATAGTGTTTTGGAATTCTACAAGATTTTAGTATGTTATGGAAACAAAGAGGATTTTTAACCCCTTCCAGAAATGCTATTTAAAAAAAGGATTTTAGTAGCAGATCTTCTAGACCCTCTGAAACTGCCATGATAAAAATACAAACTCACTAATCAAAAGGAGTAACCCAAATTGAAGAAATTAAAGGAAATCATTACTGATATAGCAGCCAAACAAGCTGGCTCTCAATCTATTTCTGCACTTACGATAAATAAAGGTCCCCAAGTTTGAGTCCTGGTGTGGTGCCACAGGGCCACAAGATAAGCACTTGACATCAAGGTTGGTTTGAAGTCCAAGCTTGGTGGTTCAAACTCCACTAGCTGCTCCTCGGAAACCCTACGCAGGGTCACTATGAGTCAGAACCAACTTGATAGCACTTAACAACAACAAGTTTGTCTACTGATAACTCTTGCTTCCAAGAATTAACTTTTGAAACCTTTTGAAACAACAATAATTAACCCAAACATATGAACTTAAGGCATGGAGAAAGGCAGCCTGTTGCCAAGATCCTGCCACTACACTGTAGACTGAGTCTAACAAGAAAACCGTCGAGAGACTTCTGGCAACCTGGAGGACTAGGCAGATGCACTACACAGACCCTCTACAACAAAGATATGAGAGATCAAATGAAACAGGCACAGATGAAAATTCGGCAACC